CTGTGTGGCTCCTTCAAGGCCAGTGGGTCTTCTCGGGGCCTGGGAACTTAGAGGAAGGACATGAGGCCTCAGGCCCCACAGGTGGGGTAGGGGTGGCAGCCGGCAAGAATGTCCTCTGACCCCGTGACCCGTGTCACTGCACCGGGGGGGGGGGGGGATGCCCCTGGTCCTGGCATCAGAAGGCTGGGTTCCAGTCCTAGGTCTGTTGACTGAGTGACCTTGAGAAAGTCATGGCGCCCCCTGACCTGGGCCTCAGTTTCTCCATTTGCACACAGGAGGTGGGCTATTTAGATCCAACTGCAGCTCAGGAACCATGCAACCTGTCCGTCTACCTTCCCTTTATGCAAATCTTGGATGTCGGGGAGCAGGGTGCGGGGCAACCACCGTCACCACGAGTAACTGTTGGCACTGTGAGCCCCGGTGTCCTTCCTCTTCCTCTTCCTCTTCTTCCTCTTCCTCTCCTCTCTGGTCTGTTTCCCTGTAACTCTTTCCCTGCTGCACTCACTCGAGAGCTCCAGGTCGGGCAAAGGCCCGGGATGAGTCCCCTGGGCGGGCCCCTGGCTTGAGCCAGCTCCTCGGGGAGGTAGGGTTTGCTTCAAGTGGGGGCTGGTGCGCAGCTGGAGAGCACTCGGAGGGCCTGTCTCCCTGCGGAAATGGGGGAGACCCGGGTAGGGAGGGGCTGTTGCCAGGACAGCAGCTGGGCAGGACAGCTAGCTCCCCTCGGTGATGAAGAGAGCACTGTGTGAGGAGTCCTAGGGCCCCTCCCCCACACCTAGCTGCCTGTGCCTCCCTCCGGGGAGGGGAGCGGGAGGAGGGGGATGATTTTGGAGGGGCCACTTGTAACACCACTGTGTCTGCAGTTCCGGGAGTTGTGCAGGGCAGTCAGCAGTGCATGGGCCCCGGGGGTGGGGGGTGAGGTGGAGGGGGGGTCAGGAGGGCCTTGGAGGAGTTGTGGTTGTGCCAGGCCTGAGGGCAGAGGCCAAGGGAGTCGGCATGAGAGCAGGAAGGCAGGCAGTGGGGACGAGAGCAGAGCTGTGGCCCAGGGAGGGAGGGACTTGCCCATAAATGGGTGCTGGGCCTCCTAACCCAGAGCTCAGGCAGGTCTGGGTGTGGGATGAGTGGTAGTTGTCAGTCCTCCCTCCTGGACACCCCTCCCCAGAGCAGCAGAGAGGGGGGAGGGGGCCCCTTTCCTGGCTTTATCACGCCACCCCCTCTTCCTGCCCCCGTCGGGGGCTTGGGCAAGCAGAACAGGGCACTTGGGACTGGGGCCTGCCCAGAAGCCACCTCCTTCCCTCCCAGGCCTCCCAGGCGCCTGCTCAGCATCTGTCCCGACGCTTCCGCAAGACACGTGGCATGTGGTTCTGGATGGACATTTATTAGCGCACCCAGGGGTGCACACGGAACACGGATTCAGACAGGGGTCCCTGCCCAGGGGGCTCACAAGCTAAACGAGACACAACAGACACATACACATAGGACACGAACACAGGGTGTGGGGCACCTTCCAGGGAGGCAGACGGTAGAGGAGCCGAGGGCCGGGGCACAGCGCGGTCAAGCATCGCCCTTCGGGGTGTCTCCGTGGGGAGCCGGGAGAGCGGAGGTGGCCCAGGATGGCGTGCCGAGCCCAGGAGGGACTCAGGAGAGAGCCCCAGGGGGCAGTGGACAGGCACGGGGAGGGAAGGGCCCATCTGTGTGGATGACAAGTGTGGGGAGCCGGGAGAGCGGAGGCGGCCCAGGATGGCGTCCTGAGCCCAGGAGGGACTCAGGAGAGAGCCCCAGGGGCAGTGGACCAGCACGGGGAGGGAAGGGCCCATCTGTGTGGATGACAAGGGGTCTAACGACGTGGAGGCAGGAGAACGAGGCAGGAAGTCCAGGAGGAGGCCCGGAGCCCATGGCGGGAGGCTGTCCCCTCGGCTGGCGAGCTGTCCCTGCTGTAGGCTGGTTCCCGGGGCCATCTCCCCGTACAGAGCTCCAGGGAAGGGGCCCTCTGAGCTACTTACCTGACCCTCCGGCCCCCTCCGATCTCCGGGGCAGAGATCAGAAGAAAAGAAACCTCCGCCTTTTAACTGGCGTTTACACAGGCTGCCAGACACGGTGGGTAGGGAGAGGGTGCGCGGCTTCCCGTGGGGATCTCAGTGTGCAGGACGCAGCTGCTGGCCAGGGGCCGGGGAGCAGGGGGCGCGATGGCCCCCCTCCCTCTGGGGGTGGACACATGACAACCGAGGGCCCTCACTCCCTCGTGCCCGTAACAGGGGTAGCACCGTCCTCCTGAGGTGCCCTGAGAGCGACAGGCCCTGTGTCCCTGGCGGCCTGGGGAGGGGCGGCCGGATGGTCATCGCTCCTCTGTGGTCCCGAGGGCAGGAAGGAAAGGGCTCGCCACAGTGGCCGAGGGCCCTGGCCCGTTCCCTCGGGCTGGGCTGGCCACGGGCTCTTTGGGTTGGAGAGACTTTTCTAACCCGAAAGGATTAAACCAGAAAGGGCGGCGAGAAGCCACAGGCCCAGCCACCAGGGCGGGAGCTCCTCGGGCCGGGAAGGAGCCGCTGACCTGAACACGCGGCCCAGCGAGTGGGAGTGCGGGCGGCAGTGGGGGAGGTCGGGGCCCCTTGGGTTTGCCTGACCCGCCTTGGAGGGAGGTGAGGGCCCCCTGGGAGGTGGGGGGCGGGGGTGTTGGACTAGGGGAGCTACAGACCTCAGGGTGACTCCACTCCTAACAAGCGGGGCTTTAGGCCTGGGCCCGAGCGGCTGCTCCCTGCTCCCGGGCAGCGAGGGCTGATGTGCTAGATCTGAGGACGGGGTCCAAGGGCCTCATCGCCAAGGTGACAAGATGAGGGGAGACTCCGAGGCCCAGGCTCCCCACCCCTCACCCCACTGCCTCTTCCCCTGGGAGGCGAGGGAGGGCTGGGACCCACGGAGGAAACAGCCAAGGCCCTACTTTTCCACGATCCTTTATTAATCGGAACGGGCCGCGCCACAAAAGCGGGGCCCATTCCCACAAAAATATGATTTTGCAAAGAGGAAGTCTTGCTGGCTTAGAGGGTGCGTGTGGTGGAGAGTTGTTGTATGGTTCTTTTTTCCTTTTTTTTTTTGTTTTCCTTCGGTTTTTCTCCATCTCTCTTCACTGCATTTTTTTTTTGTGACAGTGGGTTTTTGTTTTGTGGTTATTTATTTTTTTATAAAACACTTGCGCTCAAGGACTCCAACACAACACAAACAACGGCTACCAGCCCCCACCCCTGGGCCCCAGCCGGGTTGGGGGTCCGGGGCCCCCCGGGCGTTTTTGTGGCTGTTTTCCTGGTGTCTGGCACCGGTGGGCAGGCGCGAGGACCTGGGCGGTGGGGTTTGTACAGCGGCGCCCTGGGGAGACGGTCACAAGGAAGGGAACCTGGACGAGAGAACGACTAAGTCTAGGGGCCCACGAAGACGAAGACGGACGACGCTCGGAAAGGGGCCTGGGGCGCAGCGGAGGAGACAGGCTCGGGGGAGGGCAGGCGGGCCGGCTTCGGCTGCAGTAACTGTCTGCTCACGGGTGGCCCCTCCCAGTCCCCCGCCGGGACCCCCCCGGTGGCGGCGGCCTCACAACCTCCCCTGTGAGGTAGGTGAAGTATTGTTACCATCATTTTACAGGTGGGGAAACTGAGGCCCCGGGAGGGGGGGCGCGATTTGCCCAACAAGGTCCTCGGATGGCGGCAGGGCTCCGGTGCCCACCCCCGTCCTCAAGTTCCCCCATTCCCCAGACCAGCCCCGCCCTCGCCCCAGACCACCCGCCCCTTCCCAAGACAGCCCACCAGGTCCTTGGCCCTCCACGCGCGCCCCTCTC